TCCTTTTCTAGTCTCTCATTCTCCTCAACCAGATTGTTGATTTTGTACTCAAAGTCTCTTCTTTCAGAGTTTAATCGATTGACCTTATATTGCAGTCGCATGGCTTTAGCATGGATCTCCTGAAATGCGTCAAGTAGCATGTAGTATTTGACCTCAATTGGCTCATTCTCGAACTCTTCATCACTATCATAGTCATTTAGTCCCGAGCCAGCCATGAAGTAGATATTTGATTCTTCTTCGCGATCACAGTCTTCATCACTTGAAGAGTCTTAGTCACTGTTTTCCCAGGCGATGTACGTGCTTTTCTGCTTTTTCTTCTTGTCTTAAGGAAATTTCCTACTTTCTCTTTGCTTCAATTTCAGGTCAGGGCATTCAGGTTTAATGTGACCCTCCTTGCCACACTCATAACACTGAACATCATTTCATCTTGTAGCTTTCTTTGCTTTGCCATTACCTGCATGGTCAGTAAGTTTACTTTTATTTTTCATAAACCAATTAAACTTTCTTACCACCATGGACATCAGCTTATTGTTGTCCAAATCAACGTCAAATTCATCCTTAGATGATACAATCTTTGAGGCTTTTTTGCTAGTGGCTTTCAAGGCTATGGACTTCTTTTCTTCAATTTCTTCCTCTTCTTTTAGTCTTCCAAGTTCAAGCTCATGTTCTCTTAGCTTGCCGAACAAGGTAGCCATATTCATGCTTGTAAGATCTCTTGATTCAGAAATTACAGTAACCTTGGGTTGCCAGATTCTATTCAGACTTTTCAATATCTTGATATTGATATCTTCTTTGTCAAACACTTTTCCTAGAGCCATCAGGTGGTTGACTATGTGAGTAAATCTTTTCTGTACTTCATATATAGTATCTTCAGCCTTCATCCTGAACAGTTCATACTCATGTATCAATGAGTTCTTTCTGGCTCTCTTTACTTCTTTTATGCCTTCCTGTGTGACCTTCAATACGTCCCACATTTCCTTTGTTGTCTTGCACTGTGAAATCCTGAAAAATTCATCCATAGTTAGTGTAGAAGCAATTAAATTACGTGCTTTGACATCATATTGTGCTCTACGATTTTCATCCTGAGACCACTCAGAAAAATTTTTCAAAACAGTTTTTCCATTAACAACATGAGTTGGCTCAAATGGACCGTTTAGTTTTGCATCCCAAACACCTTTATCCACGGATTCAAGAAAGATTTGCATCCGGATTTTCCAAAAAGCATAGTTTTCACCAGCAAATAGTTGTGGTCTATTTGTTAATGCACCTTCACCAAAGGTTTGACAACTAAAGTCCATTTTCCAGGAATAGTCGACTTAAAGAAAAAAATAATCGACTTGTTTTTCAAATATCTTATGAAAACAAGCTCTGGTGGCAATTCTTGAAAATAGAATGGCTTAGTTTCAATACCAAGAGCGGGGTGAATTGATGAAACACAAAAATCAGAGTCTTTTAAAAATCTTTTTCACAAAAGTATGATCTTTCCAAAATTTCTTGAATCGCAATGAATAAGATTTTTTAAGTGTAGCGAAAATAGTTGACTACGTGAAAAGTAAAGTCGACTTTGAAAATAAAGTGCAGGGATAGAAAATTCAAACGCATGTTTTTATACTGGTTCGGCCAAACTGCCTACATCAAGTGTCCTTCCAATCCCAGGAAACAAATGCACTATAATGATCAAGGTTTTTACAACAAGGCTATCATAGCGACCTCCACGTCAAAATATAAAACACCTCTCTAATCTTCTAATCAAAATATAGGCATATACAAACAAAGAATAGCAGCAAGATGTCCACTCTCCTGCAATCTTTAATCACTTTGAACAATCCTCAAAGTCCAGAACGTCACACGTTCTCTTCTCGTAGTCACAACAGGGCAGCCATAATCTTCACAAGATTGAGAGAAGAAGTTGATCACGTATCAGACACCTCAAGTGCAGGTTGATCAATCAGTCATTGCGCACAGATTCTTGCTAGTCAAGCAATCACCAAAGAATGAACACCTCGATCTTTCTTGATGGATTCTTGGAGCTTTAACATGTTCTCCAAGAGATCAATAATCTGAAACAATTCAATCAAAACGTTAGATTAAAAAATGTTCCTGTAGAAACTAAATTCGCGTCTATATATAGTTTTCCATAAAACTGACGCTCCTAAGTTGACTATGCTACTAATAGAGTCGATTATAGTCTGACAGTTATAACAATTAGTAGCACTCAAATGAACTTAATTGATTTCGCATTTAATACAATTGACTCACAATCAATGCTTAGTCAAAGATATAAAATATAGCCGTTAGACATCACAAACATTAACATAATTTCAAAACATAACTAACTAAGTCGAGTAGCTTGCGTATACAGTCGACTTTGTAACACTTCAATGCAGTTTTGAAAAACTTTCATTCCAAAAATACTCACAGCACACTTTGAAAAAGTTTGTGCAAAGCCACGAGTTTTAATTGACTTACTTCATAATGAAGTNAGATATTACAATCAGATTAACCAAACAATAATGGCTTATAAAGCCTACTACAAACTAACACGAAAAACAATAAAACAAACAAACTAAACACATCATTACACAACAATAGACCCTAAGCTAACAATACAAGACCCCTATTCTATATAAATCCTCACTCCTGTTCTTAATCAGATGAATCCATATAGTCATTGTCAGATTGTCCTTCTTCTTCTCTTTGTTGCTGAGCATGGTCAATTTTCCACTCAAGCTGATTTAGTTTTTCAATCACCACTTTGAATTGATCAGCAGCAAAACGTTCAAAGGTAGTTTCGGGAGAGAAATTCGTTCTATTTTCATTTTCTACAGAAGTACTCCCTGAACCATAGATGATATTTTCTTCTCCTCTAAAACATCATCCTCTCATAGTCCTTACCAATCCAAGTGATACAATAGTGTTTCGATTTATAACATTTGAGTAGTTGCACGAGTGTTTTCTTTCTCCATTTGTATCCACTCCTTGGTGTGCAAGTATATTGCTTACAAGAACAGCATACAGTAAAAAATGAGTGTTTCTAAGAGCAGCTTCAGCCATGTGATCTTTTAGAACCTCCACCCAGTTGGTGGGAATGTCATTCTTTATAGCATGCAAGAGGTAGATATCCTCTGTAGTCATTTCATCTTGCATCATTCTTCCAGGTAGGATCACCCAAGCAAGGAGATGTGCAGTAATCATCTCTTCCATTTTAAGATCTTCATGCAAAGAAGGACTTTCTCGTGTGTCACTTCCTGAAAATCTAAGCCAGCCTCTGTAGATATCTGTTTTCTTTAACCAGCGATTTGTTTCAGAGTTTGGTAGATGAGAGAAAATGCCTTTGGCTTTTAGACCAGTTACTTGTTGCCAAACATCATTGTCAATGTAAATGTTGACACCTTTTACCCTTGATTGAATATCACCATTGACCATCTTTAAATTGTGGTAAAATACTCTTATGAGATAGGATACCAATCACCTTTCATCTGAACCAGTGTTAAGAGTTCTTGTGTTTCAATCCATCCAGGAAACTGAAAGTTTTCTCGCTCAAATAGACTCAACTCTAAGTATTTGGGTGATACAACAATTTTTACACAACCGTCAGCAAATCTCATACGAGTATCATCATCATTTATCCAACCTCCAAGATTAGCTTCTCTTCCTGATTTCACACCTTTGCCATTGTTTTCTTTCAAAGGTCGAGATGAAGACGCCATTTTGATATGATCTCTTGTACTCATTATTTTTCAGTTTAGGGTTATGAAGATATGTAGATAGAGTTCTTGTACTGTCAGCACAACTTACACTCAGATATATATGACAAAGCAAACCATACAAGTTCAATTTTGACCCATTTAAATTTTCAAATATAGAAAGCCCATGACAGAGATATCTAGTCGATTTCATTAATTTCAAAGTTGACTTCTGTATGACAAAAGGTTTTCACAAAACAGAAACACACATACAATAACATGTAATCGACTATGTACTTAATCCAATCGATTAAAATTTGTAAAAATGGACTTTCACATAAAACAATCTCAATCAATCAATCAACAATCATACATTCATCAAAATATCATTCAAACAAATATCATGCATGATGTAGTGATATAATAATCGATACCACTTATAGATACTCAAGAAATTTGATGTAATCATGTTAGTTCATCCTTGAGTTCTTCACTGCTACAACATCATTTGTTATCCTGCAAAACAATTTAAATTTTTCAATGCTGGTACCCATTTGAATTTGGGTCCTGTCTAGTTAGTTGCAGATAGATGTTCCTTGTGAATCCATCTATATTTCCCTTTTGGAACTCCAACCTTTCTGTAGTAACAGTTTCTAACAGTGTGCCCTATGTTATTATAGTAAAAACATGGATGTGTAACAGGCTTACTGATATCTGCAAATTTCTTTGTATATGTTCTGTTACTCTGAGCTTTGTAGCCAATGCCTTGTCTGAATACAACTCTTCTAGAGGCCTTCAGTACAACATCTAAATTGTCTTTACCCTGTGTGGACTTTGCTAACGTGTAAGTCAAGTAATGATTTTTTTCAACCAATATAGGACAGTTTTGACAATCCTTTTTAGCACACTTTGTTTCAGCATTACTTTTCTTCACAGACTCTAAAGCATCATTTAACTCCTTTTCTAGTCTCTCATTCTCCTCAACCAGATTGTTGATTTTGTACTCAAAGTCTCTTCTTTCAGAGTTTAATCGATTGACCTTATATTGCAGTCGCATGGCTTTAGCATGGATCTCCTGAAATGCGTCAAGTAGCATGTAGTATTTGACCTCAATTGGCTCATTCTCGAACTCTTCATCACTATCATAGTCATTTAGTCCCGAGCCAGCCATGAAGTAGATATTTGATTCTTCTTCGCGATCACAGTCTTCATCACTTGAAGAGTCTTAGTCACTGTTTTCCCAGGCGATGTACGTGCTTTTCTGCTTTTTCTTCTTGTCTTAAGGAAATTTCCTACTTTCTCTTTGCTTCAATTTCAGGTCAGGGCATTCAGGTTTAATGTGACCCTCCTTGCCACACTCATAACACTGAACATCATTTCATCTTGTAGCTTTCTTTGCTTTGCCATTACCTGCATGGTCAGTAAGTTTACTTTTATTTTTCATAAACCAATTAAACTTTCTTACCACCATGGACATCAGCTTATTGTTGTCCAAATCAACGTCAAATTCATCCTTAGATGATACAATCTTTGAGGCTTTTTTGCTAGTGGCTTTCAAGGCTATGGACTTCTTTTCTTCAATTTCTTCCTCTTCTTTTAGTCTTCCAAGTTCAAGCTCATGTTCTCTTAGCTTGCCGAACAAGGTAGCCATATTCATGCTTGTAAGATCTCTTGATTCAGAAATTACAGTAACCTTGGGTTGCCAGATTCTATTCAGACTTTTCAATATCTTGATATTGATATCTTCTTTGTCAAACACTTTTCCTAGAGCCATCAGGTGGTTGACTATGTGAGTAAATCTTTTCTGTACTTCATATATAGTATCTTCAGCCTTCATCCTGAACAGTTCATACTCATGTATCAATGAGTTCTTTCTGGCTCTCTTTACTTCTTTTATGCCTTCCTGTGTGACCTTCAATACGTCCCACATTTCCTTTGTTGTCTTGCACTGTGAAATCCTGAAAAATTCATCCATAGTTAGTGTAGAAGCAATTAAATTACGTGCTTTGACATCATATTGTGCTCTACGATTTTCATCCTGAGACCACTCAGAAAAATTTTTCAAAACAGTTTTTCCATTAACAACATGAGTTGGCTCAAATGGACCGTTTAGTTTTGCATCCCAAACACCTTTATCCACGGATTCAAGAAAGATTTGCATCCGGATTTTCCAAAAAGCATAGTTTTCACCAGCAAATAGTTGTGGTCTATTTGTTAATGCACCTTCACCAAAGGTTTGACAACTAAAGTCCATTTTCCAGGAATAGTCGACTTAAAGAAAAAAATAATCGACTTGTTTTTCAAATATCTTATGAACACCAGATCCGGTGCCAATTATTGAAAATAGAATGGCTTAGTTTCAATACCAAGAGCGGGGTGAATTGATGAAACACAAAAATCAGAGTCTTTTAAAAATCTTTTTCACAAAAGTATGATCTTTCCAAAATTTCTTGAATCGCAATGAATAAGATTTTTTAAGTGTAGCGAAAATAGTTGACTACGTGAAAAGTAAAGTCGACTTTGAAAATAAAGTGCAGGGATAGAAAATTCAAACGCATGTTTTTATACTGGTTCGGCCAAACTGCCTACATCAAGTGTCCTTCCAATCCCAGGAAACAAATGCACTATAATGATCAAGGTTTTTACAACAAGGCTATCATAGCGACCTCCACGTCAAAATATAAAACACCTCTCTAATCTTCTAATCAAAATATAGGCATATACAAACAAAGAATAGCAGCAAGATGTCCACTCTCCTGCAATCTTTAATCACTTTGAACAATCCTCAAAGTCCAGAACGTCACACGTTCTCTTCTCGTAGTCACAACAGGGCAGCCATAATCTTCACAAGATTGAGAGAAGAAGTTGATCACGTATCAGACACCTCAAGTGCAGGTTGATCAATCAGTCATTGCGCACAGATTCTTGCTAGTCAAGCAATCACCAAAGAATGAACACCTCGATCTTTCTTGATGGATTCTTGGAGCTTTAACATGTTCTCCAAGAGATCAATAATCTGAAACAATTCAATCAAAACGTTAGATTAAAAAATGTTCCTGTAGAAACTAAATTCGCGTCTATATATAGTTTTCCATAAAACTGACGCTCCTAAGTTGACTATGCTACTAATAGAGTCGATTATAGTCTGACAGTTATAACAATTAGTAGCACTCAAATGAACTTAATTGATTTCGCATTTAATACAATTGACTCACAATCAATGCTTAGTCAAAGATATAAAATATAGCCGTTAGACATCACAAACATTAACATAATTTCAAAACATAACTAACTAAGTCGAGTAGCTTGCGTATACAGTCGACTTTGTAACACTTCAATGCAGTTTTGAAAAACTTTCATTCCAAAAATACTCACAGCACACTTTGAAAAAGTTTGTGCAAAGCCACGAGTTTTAATTGACTTACTTCATAATGAAGTTGACTTAAAACTGTTGTTTTGCCACATTATAAGTTCAACAAAAGTGCATGTGGTTTTCCTTTTCTAAAACATATGTCATGCATTCACAGATAAAATCCCATGTAAAACACAATGAATTGCAGCAATGACAGAATCAGCACAAACATGTTCTCAAATAATCATAAACATGAAAGCTATGAACATGTAACACATTTAACAACACATAACAACACATGTTGTTATTAATTATGTTGTCATCATAAAAAACCAGAAGTTCTTTGAGATTGTAAGGTTTGGCTAAACTATTGCGCCCCTTATCAACAATCTCAACAAATATAACCAATAAAAGTATGAGCCGAACAGTCTTCACGATACCACTCATCTGCCTTGTCGGACGGTCTTGATGAACACGTCCAGCAAAAAGGCACACCACACAAGTCGAACGGTGATGACAATATCTGCCATCTACCTTGTCAGACTGACACAAGTCGAACGTTCAAGACGATGTCTGTCATCTGCCTTGTCGGACGTCTTGGCGAACGTCCACCAAAAGAGCGTACCACAGAAGTCAAACGACAATGACGATACTAGTCATATGCCTCTTCGGACGGTCTTGATGAACGTCCAGCGAAAGGGCTCACCACAAAAGTCGACTGGTCAGGACGATATCCGTCATTTTCCTTGTCGGACATCTTGATGAACGTCCAACGAAAAAGCGTACCACAGAAGCCGAATGACAGTGACAATATCCGTCATCTACTTTGTCGGACGGTCTTGAAGAACGTCCAGCGAAAGGGCGTACCACATAAGTCGAATGGCCATGAAGTCATCCCGTCCTCAATTCTGGTCGGACGGACTTCACGAAGGATCGACGAAATTCTAATTAGATATCCCAATAAAGATTAAGTTAACTAACGATTAGAGACGTTGGGCTAGGATTGGGCCGTAATTAAGACTTCACTAATCCATAGCCTATAATGAAAACTATAAATACAGGTCAAAGGTAAGAGGTTGGGGGTTGGCATTTATTGCACATTCGTTACTGTTTGATTGAACTCACGAACGAATAATCGACTAACTTAAGTATCGGAGCACCTTTGGGAGGTACACCTCTGGGCAACGTGATGAGAAAGGAGAAGAGAGGCCGTGACCGAACGGTGTTCGGGAGGATTGGAGTGTGAGACCAGCAACGACGCCGAATGGTGTCGAGCATTCTCCCTATCGCTCGAGGGAGAGGGTTTAGAGTGGTTCAATTCACTGCCCCCCAATTCCATCGAGAATTTTGAAGGCATAAGCCAAATGTTCAACCGCCAGTTTACAAGCAACAGTACTCAAGACTTGACCATCTTCGAATTAGTGAACCTCAAGCAAGGAATAGAGGAACCACTGAAGGTGTTCATGGACTGCTATCAGAAGATCGTTCGATGGGTAAAAGGCCTTAATGTCGATCTCGCCCTTCAGTATGTCCTACCTGCCCTCAGACCAGGGCCCTTTAAGGAAAGTGTATGCTAGCGTGCCCCTAAGACCATGGAAGAGTTGCGTGAACTGGCAGCCGATGAAATACAGGTAGAAGAGATGACACAAAGCTACAAAAGGGAGAACCATGAGGCAAAGAGGGAGAAGTCGGACAGTAAAAGGCACGAAGGTCAATCCGGAAAATCTGGGGGTTTTAAGCTCAGAGACCCGCTCTGAGTGTTACCAATGAGGAGCATTGGTGTTTTGAAGTTAATAATTTTGATGATGCTACAAAGTGAAAAATATGAAGACTCTTAGTGCATCAAGTTTAAAAGCATATCTGCATAATGATCAGCAAAGAAAAAGAACAAGAGTAAGATTCAGAGCGAACGACAGATAAGTAGACGAAGACCGAACGGTCGCTATCAGTCAATGGGCGAACGCAGATGAAGACCGAACGACTACAATCAAATGAAGGGTAAATACAGATAAAGGCAAAACATTGTTCATGGCCAAACACAACTAATAAGACCGAGCGTTAAGCACCGAACGGTAGACTTCATGACCAAGACCAAGCAGTCAGGACACAAGCGTTCTTGACCAAGAACATAGGACACGAGCGTTCCCAAGCAGTTAGGACACGAGCGTTCTTAACCATGAACATAGGACCGAGCAGTAAAATTATGACCAAGATCGAGAGTAGGTAAGACATGTCGAGAACAAACAGTTTGGACTGAGCAATGAAAAGCAGTGTAGAATCAAGTCGAACGTTGAAAAGCTGTAAGAAACCTAGACGAACGACAAAAGGTGATAAGGACTTGAGCCGAACGTATTTGAAGCCCGAACACAACTTGAAACACAGACCGAACGGTAAAAGGCCATGAGGGCTCAAACTGAACGCTGGAAAGTTGTGAGGAACCGAGTCAAACGACAGAGGGTCATAAGGGGTTGAACCGAATGGCATAAGGATGTGTCCAATCAAACCGAGCGACAGAGGGAGAAGAACTGGTGCCGAACGGTTGAAGAGTTAAATATCATAATTGTTCCAAGTCTTGTAGATAATCGATTATCACTTACAATAATCAATTATCACTGGCAGTTGTAATGCGTCTTTTCAGTTTCGGACCAGTAGGCTTTATATACCTTTGTCAAACACTTTAGAAGGAACTTTGCGTAACTGAGAATACAGTGCTATCTGAGAAAGTTCTCAAGTGCCAGTTCATTGCTTTGTCAAGTCTTGTGAACAAGAGAAGCTCGCACTTTGTGTGTCAAAGGTCAGAGCGGTTCTCTTCAAGTTGGCAAAGTTGTTTCCTTCTGGTTCGTTCGTCGAAGGAAGGTGTTTTTGTTACTGTTATTTTCAATCACTATATTGTAATTGTAAAACTGTTTTTAGTGAAAAGGTTAATTAAGCACTATTCCATATGATATTAATTAATGACTGGACGTAAATCTTTTGATTTGAACCAGGATAAAATCATTTGTGTGATTTTCCTACTTCCTACACTCTTTAATTTTCTCTGCTCATCAATGTTCGATAAAACGGCTTTTAAGAAAATTAAAGGAAGCCATTTTTATTAAATTGACTAATAAGCTCTTCGCTTTTAAACATCTGGAATCGTACTACTCTGTTTTGATATTCCCGCTGCGCAAAATGTACCCCCCCGACTCCCCCTCGCTTGCTCCAACAATTGGATCAAGTTTTCTTTGATTTCTTTATTCTTTCAATTTGTCGAAAATGGGTCGGTCATCAAAATCAAGTAATATGCCGATGTGCGTCCCCCCCCCCCCCAATCAACAAGAAACCCCCCTTTTTACTGGTGATAACTATGCTTCTGGAAAGTCATATGGAAAATTTGTATGGGGTCTTTGACAGAGGCATCTGGGAAGCTGTACTAAATGGTCCTTATATTCCTAAAAGAACGGTTGACAGTGTAGAAGTAGAAAAACCATACTTTAACTGGACTCCTGAGGAAAATAGAAGAGCCCAATTTTATATTAAGGCTCGCAATATTATTTCATATGTTGTTGTACTTGTGAGTTTTATAGAATTTCAGTTTGTAAGACAACATAGGAGATGTGGGAGGTCCTCAAAGTCACACATGAGGGTACTGATGATGTGAAACGCGCAAGGAAGAACACGCTCATCTAGGAGTACAAGATGTTCAGAATATAACCTGGAGAATCTATTTCTGATGTCCAAAAGCGCTTCACTCATATTGTGAATCACTTAACTCGGTTGGGTAAGACTTTTGATACTGATGAATTAAATGTAAAAATTCTGAAATCATT